CGGAAGAAACGGATTCAAAAACTGAGTTCCGAGCAGAGAGATATGCCCCGAACAAGTTCAGCGACAATAAGGGCCAAAAACCCTGAAACTGGAGGAAAACGACCAGAAAACAATTCTAAGAGTACACGACTAGACAAAAAGTGAAAATGCATCCCGTACGAGAATCCAGGCTCAAAACGAAGCATTTTTGCAATAACTTTCATTAATATCACAATGGCCCCTCCAAAAAGTGAAAACTGCACTAATAACCCAGAATGAAAATATCTTCCAAAAATATTTTCTTAAAAACTCCTAAAATAAAATATCTTTAAAAGATATGTATGAAAAACACCCCAAGAAAAGAAAAATATTGAAAAACTATGCATCTATGCCCCTATAGACACCGGGAGCAACCAGAGCACTTTACTGCAAAAGTAAAGATACGTATTTTGTGAAAACCACTTAGGATGAAGGTACGTGAAGTCAAAAACCAACTCCGAGCATGAAAAAAGAGGTTGTGCCAAGAAGTGACAAACGGGGAAATAACAAAATAAGGAAAAGGACGAAAAGTGAATAGTGTCGAAAAAATGAAAAATGTGGAAATGACTCGATCCTTAAAAGAAGTTGTCAATCCAAAGGAAAGAGTCTCAGAAACCATTTCCGAGCACTCGAGACGACACTAAGTGATGAAAAACCAAATACGGAATAGAAAAGAGAACAGAAAAAAATTATCAGCAAAATTTGAGGAAAAAGGAAAGGAAGAAAATGACCGGGTCATTACAAAAACCAGATTAATTTTCTGAGTAAAAATATCTCTCAAAGATGGCTCTCTAATAAATCTAAATTTTGTATGCAAAAGCCGTTTATAAACCTAGATGACTAACAAGGTTTATATAGAGTTTAGAAATATCTTAATACCTCTGAAAATATAGAAAATTTTGTGCATAGGACTTGGTACAGTTCTAAACCAAATAGGAAAGAAAACTGTAACAGGAAATTAGAATTGTAAACTGAACAGGACTTCTTGAACCTAACCTTTTTAGATTCCTTCCTAATGTGTTATTATTACGTTTTTTTGAATGATCTTAGTAATGGTAACTTTGAACAACTTTCTAATTCCGCAATCGTTGTTGATCCCGATATAATAACTTGATTTACAACTCGACTAAGATTTGTTTTGTTTTCGATAATTGCCAATTACAAAATAATATCTCACAACAATGAAACTATGAGAAAGGGTGGATTTATGCCAAGGAAATCCTCAATAGAAGCAATTTATTTGTTAAGGCAATTAGTCGAAGAATGTAAAAGTATGAAAAATGATCTACACAGGAGAAGAGATACTGAAGGGCTATAGCCTAGGTTCACAAAAAAAAAAAAAAAATTAGTACTATTGTACATCAATTCATTGCCCAGTCCATATGCAATACTACTCTTCCTCTCTGCCAATCCATATGCAATACTACTTTTCCTCTTAGCCCAGTTCACTTTGCAATCCTGACTCTGCTGCTCGCTACATATGGTCTTCATAAACCTAGAGAAAGCTTACGATAGAATGCAGAGAGATATAATTTGGTAGACTTTGTAAAGAAAATAAATTCTTTTGATAAAGATTATTCAAGATTTGTATCGAAATATCAAAACTAAAATCCGCACTACATTCGGTGAGACTAGAGATGTTTCTATGAATGTGGATTTGACGAGATATTCATATTGATATTAGATAAGATTTAAAATGTAATTTACAAAACGAAATATTCCTTGGTCCATGTTTGCCAATGACATAGTATTATTAGACACTTTCAGGAAACATAGTAATTAAATTAGAAATGTAAAAAAAATGCGTTAGAATCAAAAGAGCTCAGGGTTAATAGAACTAAAGCTGAATGTACGAAATGTAAATTTTGTAAAGAGTCGGATATTAATGAGATAATGATTACACTTCAAAATCAAAGAACTATTCAAAGTGTACTCTTTTAGTATTTAGGGTTGTGAATACAGAAGGATTGAGATAGATAGTGGTACAACTAGTATCATAGGTTGGACAAAATGGAAGCAAGTTAGTGGCATTTTGTGTGATAAACGGATACCATATAAACTAAAAGAAAAACTATGTAGAATAGTTTTTTATTTTTTATTTTTCCTAATTGGTGCTCAATCTCCCTTTTTTCAAGGAATTGTTTGCACATAGCAAGAATTGATTCCGAGAACTAATACTTAATGAGGCACCAGTGCTCAAGTTTTTTTCCAACTAGATTAATATTAGCCCAACTATTTTATATGGCACGGAGTGTTAGGCTTTAAACATAAAAATAAAAGAAAATAAAAAATGCACAACACATTCATGTAGTGGAAAATACAGGGGTACAAACCAAGTTTTGAAAGAAAAATTAGGTATGACACCTGTTAGTGATGATTAGATAGAATAGACTTTAGTTGTATAGAAGCGTACATAGATTGCCGATGATAGCACCGGTGAAAAGAAGAATTTAAATAGTTATAAGAATTGATTTTATAAAGTTCAAATATGAGGGGAAAGTTGGCTTGTAATAAAATAGAATAGAATAAAATAATTAATTTGGTCTATCCCATTCACAATTTATCTCTTTCCATAGATTGTTTCATTCTACTTCAAATGACTAGTTTAATAGAATAACCTTTAGAAAGATGTTTCCATTGGAAGTAGCTTTTCATTAATTACTTGCCTCTATACTTTCTTCTTCCTTTTTTTTTTTTTTTTTTTGTTTTTTTTTTTTTTTTTCAAGTAGTTCGCTTTGGTTACTATTGCCTTGACAATTTTTTAATTTTTTTTATTTTTTTATGACGTGAAAACTCCCGCAACTATACGCTCTTTGGACTTATAACTATCAGGTAAACTTCCGACTACTCACTCCGACTCAACAGATTTATTTTGATTATTGTTGTATATACAGTGTTTATTTTGATTTTTATTTAATGCCACACGTTCTTTTATTTGGACTGGCAGCTCAACAAAAGACCAACCTCAGCAAACCATGTCCTAATATAAGTGCTACAAACAATACGAACATTCGTTTAATATATATCATATACACACACACATTTGTTTTTCCAAGAACAATCTGAAAAACCTGTGTCAGTGATGACAAATTGAAAGGGAATTGGACATTAACAGTGAAAAAAAAAAAAAAAAAAAATCTAAAAAACCTACACATTTGTTTTCCAAGAACAATCTGAAAAACCTAAATAGTTCTATTCCTGGTATGTGTTGGTATTAGAACTCATCAAAGGAGACCCTCTCGTTCAAAGATCATCAAACATCATATGACTTCGACGGAGTGCAACTTGGGCCTGTCCAACCCAACCCAACCTGGTTCGATCTCAATTCGGCCTCGGGTTGGTTGGGTTGGGCTGGGCTTAGTCCGTGATAATCCAAATTTAGGATTGACCCATAATTCCAACCCGAATAGTTTCGGGTCAAGCTGGTTGTCTGGGTTAACCTGTTTTTCTTTTTCTTGTTTTCTTTTTCTTTTTCCCTTTTTTTTTTTGTCAAAATCGGGTAGGCCAACATTTTTTCTGTTTTAATTTTTTTACATTGAAAAGGCAAACATGCATACCAACACTACGACTGAAAGCATGAAAAACAAAAGTACTTAATTAAATGCAGTGAAAAAAATAAAAAATAAAAAATAAAAAAAACAACCTGATTGACACAACAAATTATTAATATTTTTAATACAAACGCTCATGAAAAATTAAATCAATAATATGTCGAAATTATAATAGAAAAACACATATCCTATGTAATTATCCCTTAATAGTAGAGAGATTTTCATTTATTTTTGGGATGAGTGAGAGAGAAATCCTTGAGGTTGAGGAAGAGAGAGAGAACAACTGAGAGAGGGAGACAGATCAAACGCTGGTTAGAGAGAAAGGGTTCAGGTTGTGAAAGACGCAAATGTTTGGCTAGAGAGAGAAAGGGTCTAGGCGAGAAATCCGCGCCGTCGTTGCCGGAACCCTCATCCTCATATTTTCCGCCGTCATACTAGTGGCGGTGATCATCTGACTTCTCTGAACGGCTATGCTTTTTTTTTCCTTTTTTTTTTTTTTTTTTGGAAAGTCCCTAAACACAGATCTAGGGTTAAAAAAGAGAAAATAAAATAAAATAAAATACCCAATTCGGGTTGGAGGGGTTAGAACTATTCTAGCCTGAAGCCAACCCGGATTGGGCCCAAACTTAACCCGAAGTTCTAAAATTAGGAGTCCAACCCAAAATATTTTGGATTAAGTTTTAGTTAAACTGGGTTAGCCCGCCCAACTTACACCCCTACATATAAGATAGTTTCTCCATATTGTCGTGAAAAATCTCTTTCGTAATTTTGACTACACAAAGCCTAGAGTTATACAAGATTGCTTCGTTTTTGAAATCACGAAAAGAGTATGGATTAAACCCTTATAATACCTTTATGCTTTGTTTGGTATGAAGTTTTGTTCAGTAGCGATGATATAAGAAAATATATAATAATAAGAAGAATGTGTCATCATTCCTTCTTTACAAATTTTTATCTTTAAAATTTAAAACTTTATCTTTCTACTTTCCACAAAAAAAAAACACATAATAAATTGTAAACTTATTCTCTTTTCTTCCATCCAATCAAACAAAAAGAAAAAAAAACACAATCTCTTTTTTAGGGATATCTCATCCATCTCTTCTTTTCTTCCTTCCATCCAAATTTTTTCTTTCCTATCGAACTTAGCAAGCTTACCCACACAATAATCAATGCAGAATCAATTTAAAACAGTCATCACTAACTTAATAGGGAATTCTCTATTAGCACTACTGCATAGCCTATTTCACAAAAATACAACATTTCCCCAATTTTTTTATCTTCTTTTTTACAAAAACAGCACCACTTGACTTGGAAAATTTGGTGCTAATATTGGAGAATGAATCACACAACTGTCTAATAATCAGTCTTTTCCCTTTGTGCGGAGTCAGCTATCAAAAGTAGCTACATATTACTTAAGCAGTCCCTCCCAAAACCTCAACCCAGGAAAATTAAAAGGCATTACCTACCTTTTGAAGTTCTTTGGACCCTATCAAAAATTGGATTCTCTACAAGTTCTTTAGCAGAAGGTCGCCGAACCGGATCTGGGTCCATCATGACCTGAATGAAGTGTCAAATTATCAGCATTTCTGTTGCAGGTACATCATAAACTGATTACTATGAACTTTTATATTTAAATGATATATATATATATATAACAATGAAATGTTAGGTCAATTATAGAAGTAACAAGTTGATTTGGGTTACATAAATTATGTAGAAGCAACCTAGGGAAGAATGCCTTCTCAACGTCTGTAGAAAGAATTTTTTCAAGATTGAAAAGATACGAAGAAATAGGGTTCAGATGGCCCATCATAACACCTTTTAAAAGCGTGCAGTACCCACTCTGTGCAGAAGCTGCTTTAAAAATGAAATAGAACATCTGAAAATAATGGTAAAATAATTTTATGTTGTTTTGTTTTGTTTCATTTTGTGATCTTGTATGTAATTATGTATGTCCTAGTTTTACATTTCCAATGGCCAACAAAAGATTTACAATGACTTGGGGACAATTTGAAGCACAAGACAGGATACGTTCCTCTTTCAACAATTCCTGCAGCTACCAACCACAGTTGCAATACAATTTTCTGACTCTTTAAAAGGACTACAGCAGCACTATTATTCAAAAACAACTCTCATATTTGCAATAATTTCAACTTGACATAGGAAAGAAGAGAAAAGCAGAGAAGGCCACAAACCATTCTCCTTTATGTTTTGGTTGATATGCACCTCACCTTAGAACATAATCTAGAAACTAACATAGAATCATACCAACGAAGTGTGTTGGGTCAATAGGACTTAGGTTGGCAAATTTCGTAAAATAAAACTGGAGTCTGTAGGTTTTGGTTTTAATTTCTAGTTTAGTTTAGAAAACTCAAAAGTTAGTGTTAGTTATTAACTCTTACTCATGGTTGAAGAAGAAATTTCAAGCAACACTCAAGGGTAAATTTGTAATTTTTTTCTACAAAGATAAAATGGTAATCTTAACACTTGGATGCATTCACCAAATTTAGGGTCATGCATATATTCATTCGGGCTTCTAATTTTACATGATTTGATTTAATTTGATTCCATAATTTTTTTTAAATATGCATCTAAAGTGTTTTTCGAAACAACCTGTTTTGAAAATTTTATAATTTAAAACTACAGTAGATTTTGATCGATCGAGTATCATTGAGGGTCATTAGTGTTGTGTCGATCGATCTAGCTCTGCAGAATTGCAATTGCCTTTTTGATTTAAAAACACAGCAAACCCTACTCTCTATATACTTGCCCTAGACCTAGAAAACAACTCATACTGCTAGAGTTGAATCATGTTTTGCTTTGCATTCATCATTCTTAGTATTGGTGAATGTAATCTTATGTGTCAACATATATCACTGCAGGCTTCAACTAGGGGATTGCACAACAATCAATCCATTATCAGAGATTTACTAGGAAAACTAGTGGCTGAGGCTAAATCACTGGTTGAGAAGCATATTCATGAGGACCAAAGTTTGTCGCTGAACAATTCCTGTGCCTGGAGCGAGGGGGGTTTGGTGGGCCGATTTGTGTCAAGGAGGTTACTAGGAGTTTCTAGGATTTGTGAAATCATTAACTTGGGGTTGTAAACTTTGTTTCTCACAGTGAATTTGGTTTGCCTAGGATAGAGCCCATGATTTTTCTGATTGCCTTTCCTCGTAAAAATCTCTATATCCATTGTTATACTGCTTTAATTGTTCATACATCATTGGATGACGAATTGAATGGATTTTAGTTTTCTCTTATGGTTTAAATGTCAGTTAATCTAGTTTAATTTCAGAAGGTTGTTTAATTTTGTTAAAACAACCACTAACAAGTCCCATTCACACTGATTAAGCTAGTCAGAAAGATTAAAGAGAATTAATTTTTGCAAAAATAATATTAATGATGATTATAATGTCACCTCCAAAACAGCTAAATTAGAAGGCAATAATTTAAGTCTAGTTTATAAAATAAAATAACAAAAACAAAAACAAAAACAAAAAACTTGGGAAATGTTGAAGGATGATTTAACTTTTTTGTACCTTCAGTAAGCTTTGAAATTGAACAGAGTGGCCAGGAAGGAGTGGTAGTTTTCCTTCCCTAAGATTCAGAAAAAGAGGCCCAGATTCTGGCAGTGCTGATCCTCTAGTAAGCTCATAGATAGCAACTCCCAAGGAGAAGATGTCAACCTTGTCAAGATGATCATACTTGTCATTCAAGATTTCTTGGGGCATATAACGTGCATCACCCTCTTCGATTGGCAGGCTCCTATCAAGGAGAGTAGCACAACCAAAATCACCAAGCTTATAAATACCATTTTTGACATAAATATTATCAGGTTTCACATCTAGGTGAGCTACGCCTTGTTCATGTATAAACTGCAATGCCTTGGCTATCTGCACAGACCACAAAATATTAATAAACAGAATAAACATTTAATATCAGGAACAAGAATTTCTATCCGGTAAAAACCAAAAAGATGTCAATGATAGAGTGGCAGGCAAATTTTGACAAGAGGACCTTCGGCATTTGATAGAACTATATATGTATATTCAATTATCTGTTCATAGTAGCCTTTGAGGCACCAATTCTTTCTTCTTAAAGAATGGAGTCCATGACAACTCTAAGGTCACCCACCAAAAGAAAAGGAAAAAATTACATTACGACATTACGTAATTCCTAGGATTCTTTACAAAAATGATACATTTTGCTTATTGATTGGATCCCACTTGTTTGTTTACATGTAAGATGTGTACACCATCCCAACCAGGAATTGAACCCTGCACCTATGGTTGGCATTTTACCTCGCCCACCCCCATTCAAATGGGTTTGGGATGGTTTAATTGGGAAATGGGTGAAGGAGAAAAAAACCCCACGGGTGCAGGACAAGAAGGGGGATAGGTACCTATGCCACACCCGACCCCGTTTATATTGCATAATTACTTAATATTCCTAAAAATACTAAAGTTACTAACATTTCTTTTCAGAAACTAAAACACCAAAGCCCTAATATCTTATCTCTTCGCTATTTCATAAATTAATCCCTTTTATTGTTTCGTTAAAAAAATTTGTTAAATGGGTGGCACGAGTGGGTGAAGCGTGAGGAATTTAAACGGAGGCAAGTTATACTCTGTTAAACAGGGACGAGTGATGAGTGCTCAAATGTGACGCATTTTAGCACCTAAGCGAGGGTATTTTAATCCATTCATCTATCTTAATTTTCCCGTTTTAGTACTTATTTGTGTTTTTTTCTATTTCAGATCAATAGAGTTAAAACGGGCTAATTTCAGTCTATTAAGGCCTTTTTGGAGTCAAACTAAGTCTTGGTGAGAATCTGGAGCAAAAAAGAGGCTGGTGCTGAAAACTGCCAAGTTGGATCGATCAAAGAAAAGTTGGATCGATCGAACCCCGATCGATCACACCATACCTCTGATCGATCACACCATACTTTTGATCGATCACGCTGTTGGTTGGATTGATCGAACTATTCGCTGAAGTTATAAAAAAACAAATCTAAAGCTCATTTCAAACCAACTCGAGCTGTGCTTGAAAGGGAAGATCCTAGGACCGAGTTCTCACATTTTTGGGCTCTAAAAGCCTTGTATATAAGAGGGATTGAACCATTTTTTGTAGAAAGATTCATATTTTTACATTGTAATTTCTATATTGTTGTAGTTTCTCTCTCTAGAAAGTTAGAGATTAGGGTTAGAAGAAAAAAAGGAAGTGGAGGCACATCTCAAGAACACATCTTTAGATCCACATACTCTTTATCTCTAGAGCTTCAAAGAAGAAGAAGAAGGAGAGGAAGAAGAAGATGGAGCCATGTTTAGAGCTTGCCCCTGAGGGTTTCATGACCACATCCACCTCCTCCATGATTGACTAGATCTACACTTAGGACTTGGATAAGCCCTAAATATTGTGTAATCTAAACCCTTGTATTTCTATTTTTGGGGATTTATATATATATTGTTGTGATTAGTGCTTAGCTTTGTAATTGTTGATTTAATTCTTCCTAGTGATTCTCTATTTTAATTACATATTGTCTTATGTGTGATTATTTAGGAATTGATCTCTACACTAGATTCTCTATGTTGGTTGCATGTCTATGTGTGATTAATTAAGAATTTAGTGATGGCTAAGCATGGTTTTCATTGAATGAGTTTGTCAATTAATTTGATGGATTATACTTACACTTGATGGGTTGTTCTACAATTTAATTCATGCTTGTAGGTAAGTAGACAATCTTTGCTTGGTTTGATACTCCACACTTATTATTGCAAATTCCATGATTCTCTAGATTGATATGTGCTCTCATTAGACCCATTTGTTAACTAATTGATGGATTATACCTTTGTTTTGGTGGGTTATTCTACACTTAGTTTACTTATTGGTTAGGTAGACAATTCACTCTTGCATTAGATAGTTCACACTTTTACATGCAAATTGTGTTTATGTTTGTGGCCACATCTCGATTGCAACAATGTATTCCCCATTAATGGAAAGCAAATGGTTAATTACATGAGCTTAGTGGTGATTCCAACACCCTAAAACCTCTCTTCATATCTCTTAAATCCCTATCTCTCACTACTTTAATTGCATTTTAATTTAATTGTTTTCTAGAGTAATCAAACAACCAACCCTCCTTTGCAATCTTTTGATACGCTAGAGTCGAAGTTAAATTCTAACACGTATAATCCCTGCGGACGATCCCTACTCACTATACCTCATTAGTTGTAGTAATAGTTTTTATAAATGTAAATTTGACCTTCTAAGCTTCCGAAACCACAATCATATTTTGACCTTGCGAAGCGACCTCTCGCATTAAAAAGTTGGTTTTCTCTCACATAGAAAAGGGCTCGTCAACGAGCTATGTTACATGGAATCTTCAAAAGTAGGTAAAATACCCATGTCGGATACATAATATTCCACATGAGTATATGATATGTGTCCGGTATTTTTCGTTAGACATGCACATAAAAGACAATTTATTCAATTTTATTATATTTTTACTTCAAAACAAATGACATGCATTTATTAACACCATGTTAGACCAAAAAAAATATTTTACTCTAGAAAATAAAATAAAAATATGAATATCTAACAGTGTCCATGTCTCCTATTAGGAGTTCTGACACATCCGACAAATGGAGAATACCCATACCCAGCACTGCTACAAAAGTCAAGTAACACAAGGGACAGAGAAGGGGTCCCCCATCCACAACCTGCCCCGTTGCCATCCCTACCTACAATCTCGTCAACGGTGGCAGGAGATAGCACACAAGCTAACAACTGATTGTGAAACCCATTTACCAATGTATCCCAAAATAAGCATACATAGTATTAGGATAGCAATAGATTCTAGACCATCTGATTTGTTAATTTTTTAAGAGGTCAAACTATATACAATCTGAAAGTTCCTCAAACCCATGGTGGTTAATTTCCTGTCCAAAAGATGCTACAATCCCAATTTGCTTAGTTGATCTGGATTGCATAAAGAATCACTCGGAAGTAGGATCAATAGGATCGGAGTTAGGATCGTACAATCTTGTAGGATGTTACACCTTACTAAATGGTGTTTTTTTGTTCTTTTCTGCATTTATTTGGGCCCACAACACATTGTTGACAGAAATTTAAGATTTTTAAGTATAAAGACCAACACTTTAGCCTAACTGCATTTTTTAAATAAAAAAAAAAGGGGGTGGAAACCCCACTTCAACTGTAAACACGATGCAACTCCAAACTTCAAAGGTATGACTCAAATCTTCAAATATTTCCTCTATTTTGCACTACTCTTCTTGATTTTTATTTTTCTCCATCTTTTAAAAAACAAAGAGAGCTCAGTTTCCTTGCCTATTATTTGCCCATTAACAAAAAAGAGACTTTGTTTTTCCACTCCATTCTATCTCTCTGTTTTGTTCGTCTTGACCAAAAAATAGTCTTTCCAACAAAATTGCTAAGATAATATATTGTTCTTCTCTCTTTACTCTATACCCTTTTTCCTCTTTATTTAGGTTTTGCTTTAGTTGCTGAAGATAATTAGGAAACTATCTCTCTATTTCTTTGTTCCTTTTTTCTCTTTGTTAAGGCATTGTCCTAATTGTTTCTTTGTAATTCTGTCTGACTGTTATGTTGACGTTCTTGCAAAGAGAAAATCAAGAAATTGGTGCAAGTGTTTGTCATGTGTCTTACTTAGTATCTTTTAATATTAATCGATGTTTGCCTAGTGTTTCTCTATTTATATGAAAATAGTTTTATTTAAAAAGTTAATTAAGTTACTTTTATAATAGTTTTATAGAATCTTAAGATCTTCGATCCGATCCTATGATCTAAATCCTATGGACACTCCATCAATCCTACATAGAATCTAGATCCTAACAACCTTGGTGTATATATATACAAATATACATATATCTTACAAAGTGGATCCACATGGAAATGAGTTGTGCTCAAATATATTTATCATCTTATATTACTCAGACCATTTAAGAAATTAGATCGCATGGTAAATAATAACCTGATGCATTGCTTTCAACACCTCTCCCTCTGTGCATAGTTTAGACGATTTATTGATAGATAGGCTGTGATCACAAAGCTCCATCTGGATATATAGTTGCTCATTTTCAAACCAAGAAGAGTAGTACCCAACAACGTTATCATGGGATCCTGCAAAAAAAAGGACAATGTCAATTTTAGATTAAGGAACAATGTATAAGCCATTTATACAGAGAACAAATGAGAAAATTAATAAACAAAAAAAGCATACAAACCTAAAGCACCCAATGCTTGAACCTCCATCAATGCTTTTCTCCTGCAAAAATTATTGCATGAGCAAGTTACACTTCTATACAGAAAGAAGGTACAGGTATTTTGAAACATGGAGAAGGTACCTTTCAGTGTCTTGATGTAATTGCCTTGTGCTACGTTTAACTGCATACATACATCCATCAATTCTCTTCAAGACTTTGAAAACACAGCTGAAGTTTCCATTCCCAATTTGCTGGAAACAGAATAGATCAATCATAATTCATAACAAGAAACAGAAAACCAAAAACATAGATCAAAAATGCAAATTATGGCTGCTTAAGAGAACCAAGAATCTGCCAGTCTGAACACCTACCTCTATTTCATGAAAATCTGTTCTGTAGCGCGAAAGGCCATCTCCACCAATAAGAGAAGGGAAAAATCCTGCAGAGTGCACATTATGTGATCAAGTAATAGTCCATACTGTATATAAAAATCATTAAATATACTCCATATCATCTTCGGCAACGAAGTCAAATTAGACTATTTGTTTCAAGGGTAAACAAAATAAGGAAATAATTAAGTCGATTATTTTGGATTGAACAGTATGCCTTGTGATTGCAATTTTGGCTAGCTATATCATCCTAGAAGTTGCATAACATGAGATAACAGGTCTAGCTAATTTACCAAAAAGAGGCAACCAAAGATAATATGTGAAGCCATTTTTCCATCAACTCAAAGTAGTGCAGAAGTATTGTGTAAAAAATATCCAAATTATATTCTGCAACCAGAAGAGTAAATGTGGTTTCTTAATATTATTCAAGAATCAAGTTTTACCAAACAAGAAGTAGTGTCAGTGGGTTAAGTAAACAACCAACCATCTTATACCTGAACATTTTGATCTTCGATTGCCAAAAGGATCTATATCAATTTCTGAAGCATCCTTCAAGTAAGGATTCCTTAGGCAAGGTGGAGGCATAACTCGACAGCGTAAAGCCACTGCAGATTGTGAAACGTAACTCTGATTCCTAGGAGATTCAGATGTTATAGTTTTTTCTATCTTGATTTCATCTGTTCCAAAAGTATCCTTTGCAAGTTCCACTATTTGTTCGTGGCATGACAAGTTGGCACCAAGAGAATTTACTGAGATACCGTCTGGGAAAATAAAAAATAAAATAATTAGAATTCAACACCAAAAAATAAGAGAAACTTGAGAGTATTTGAAAAGTAAAATACAGTAAGTGCAATGCAAAATGGCAACCAAAAAAATGAATAGAAGTTTAATCATGATTGGAGTAACGTGTAGACAAGAAAAATTGACAAGAGAAAGCAATTATAATCCATAAGTCTAACAGTAATAATTGATTATACAACAAGGAAACCAAGTGGAAATGCCAATCACTTATTCAAGCACAAGAGTTGTGATTCCAGGTATGTTTGGGGAAGTGGGGAAGTTCCTTTAAGTGCTATTTGATCAGAAAATACATATAATTTATTAAGATGAAGCAAAAAAATTATAGTAAAGCCATTTTATTGAATTATTCAACCAAGCAATTTTATGAAATGCTTGGTAGTTGATAATTAGCATATGCATATAATAAGCACCCCTTAATTAATGAAAAGTGAGCATGCTGAATGTGTTGCTGACACAAGACAAGAAAAATAAGAAATGAATGCATTAATGAAAAGCTTGCAGTATTACTGATCAAGGACATAAAAGGGAATGTTGTGTTAGATGATTTGCAGTGCTCAACTGTTTTATGCTATGCATCATTATAGAGGAGTTTTCCTCTTCTTCCATAGGAAAAAGATTCAGAACTGGTGAAGATGAGTACTGAGTCCGACAAGTTGGGTTCGAGGCAACACAGAATGCGATCTTCTTCTGAATAAATTTCATTGAAGTCACAAGCAGCAACGCCGATGGGTGGAAAAGGAGGCGCCTTACTTCAGCTTTAGAGAGTAGAAAATGGAAAATCATAACCACTTCCCCTTTTGGAACCATTAAATGCACCAGCAAGGGGGGTGATCCATTTAGAGTTGAAAGCATCAAAACTGTAGGAGGAAATCAGAAAAAACATAAATTGAGATGGGAAGAAATTCAGGATGGTTACAACTGTACAGAGGACAAACTACCGAAAAGAAGGATTTTACAAGGGAAATGAACTCAACAAAACATGAATAGGTTAGAAGGATTTTGTTTCTTTTGATCACAAAACACCTCATCCATGTTATTTCATTTTAAAGGTTATTTCATTTTAATGAAGCAATTCAATATGTCACCACAACTTCACTACAAGCATGTTCATTCCAAAATAGCATCAACATTTCAAAATCAAGGTAGGTTAAATGCCACGATCATGTGCACTAGATAAGAACTCTATGTACAAATCCAAGTAAACTGATTCAACCCATAAACAAAAACAGATTCTAACAATTGATACAGCTAGGAATGCTCCTAAATCTCAAGACTCAAGCTATCGATAACAATTAATCTTACCCTGTCTCTGCCTTTTGCTTCTGACAGTTATTAGTTTCTCTGGTGATTTGGGACAAGGGATGTTTTCCTGCAAAAGAAAGGTTAATATATCAAAATTGTGAAATTTAGCATAAACATAAGAGAAATAAAGTGAAGTCCACTAAACATCACCTTGTTAAAATCCAAACTGTTTGAGATATGTTGACCATCAGGAGTAATGTAATCAGGAGTACTGCACCCATAGAAAAATAATTAAAAAGAAAACCCAAAATCAGAACAGAAATTTCAAATCTTTACAATTGATGGGCACCCAACAAGCCTCATACCCGCAATAGAATCTACACTAGGTCGATTAGGAGAACACATAACCACGTCCAGCTATAAAAATTTTGGGTTTATCTGCTTATACTTAGATACATATATTTGTATATTTGTGTCTTGGTTTTCGAGAATTATATAGGAAGAGATATAATTGAGAAATCGGGAAAACAAAATTGCGGCCAAAATGTACATAACAACCCTAAAAATTCTAAATTTTGAACATGTTTTTGATATCGGAATTTGAATGAATGAATAACTGGAATTTACCAGAAGAAATCTTGACTGAGAATGAAATCTTTATCATCTGCATTCGCATCGACATCAAAATCGAGCGGCGACGAGGAGGGACCGAGCGATTCTGATGGGGCTGCTTCAGATTCGAGAAGGCTACGTTGTTGGATGGGCATGAGAGAGACTTGCCCTAGCTGAACCGTCAAGTGTCTTGCTAATGACCCCTTCATTTTCTTCCTCTGTCTCCTACAGCTCCTCCCTAGGGTTTTTCTCTTCATCAACCAGGCCCCTACACAACTCCTCTCTCTCTCTCTAACTCCTCTCTCTCTCTCTAGAACACTGACCCCTCTGTATATTTTGCTCAGTGCTTTATATTATATGTTTTTTTTTTTTAAATGTGTGAGGAACTAAAATGTTCAAAAATTTGGCGGGTTATTCTTTTTGGCCAAATTATTAGATGCATTGAATCTGGACCGTATACTTAAAATGCTTAAAATGTTTCGACGCTGATGGATTGAATCTGGACCGTTAACTTCGAAGAAAAAGAAGTCAGCGCCTACAGATAAATATATGTGGGACCCCAACTGATCATTTTGGATTGCAAAAAAGCCACTCGTGTGGTGTACCATGTAAGCTTCTCATTTTTGTATAATAATATATTTTCGACTTTCGAGGTAGTGGCCCACTGTGGTCTAGTGGGCCTGTATTGGGCTGAAGCCCATTATGCCCACCAAGTTAAGGGATTGGGATGGTCAAGAAGAATGACCCAACCCAACGATGCACAAAGAGTGAGAAATTTTGTTACATGTGTGGAAAGGGAGAAATTTTAAAACGCGCGGATTGTAGTGATGACTTGACATCACCGGATTCTTAAATGGTCTTTCTCGTGAAAAAGATGGTTGTGTCAAATTTCTTAAAACACCGTGGACACATGCAGCCACTCATCAAATTTGCACCGGGCAATTTTGGGGAAATTTTCTGAGGGTAGCCCTTGGGATTCAATCTCCCGACCTAATGGAAAGATAATACATGCTAGTTATCCGGCCTATATTTCATGAGTTTTTTTGTTTTTTTTTTTTATTATTGGCAATAAACTCAAGCACTCATTTGTCCCTACAAGATCTCAATCATCACCATTCCCTTTGAGAAATAAATTACTAGGCTATATTTTGGTGATTAAAAATATAGTAGACAAAGACATAGCAATATGCAAGATAATCATCACTTCCTATCAATATGTAAGATAATCATCACTTCCTATCAATATGTAAGATAATCATCACTTCCTATAAATAATGTGTTAATTAGCATTTAAACATGCATGTAAATCAATCCTAAAAAATAAAAATCTAGAAACATATTTATCTTCACTTTGAAAAAGAGAAGAAATACCATTGGATCATGACATCTAAAAACATGTTAAATCATGAAAAATTATTAGAAAATTCAATACCAATAAGTCTTTAATTCAATTAAATAGCATGTTCAACTCTAATAGGTGATAGGTTCATTTTTCTTATTTGAAGAGTTTTGATTGAATTCGACTACATGATTCAAAACATTCTTATTATTTCTCCTAATCAACTCCCAAATTTAGAACCTTAACCCTTAGCTACACTAATTTGCACTAACTTGGAATTCTAACCATTCTTACTAAGAATACTTATTCAAATTACTTTTGACTTTTATACAATTGGTGATAGGTAGAAAGATCAAATATGTTTTAACAGATTATTGGAGATAAAAAAAAAAAAATTACACATCATACGTAACAGTATATATTTTACACAAAATAATATTTTAACAGACGACTGAAGAAAATTTCTCAAACCTTTTAGAACAATTTTTTTTTTACAGTTTTAGGTTGAACATGGCCATGGGCAGAATAGAACTTCGATCTCACTATTTCTTAGAAGGTCTCTCTCTCTCTCTCACACACACAGACACACACACACACAGCTCTGCACAATCACACACATATCTTAAAGGGGTACACTTCAGCTGCATTTTGACATCTGGTTTCCTTTTCGAGACACTGTCAGGAAGACATGTCCCCCTACTCACTACATATTCAAAATTAAATCATTCTCGTTATTTTAAAATACTTCAGTAGAATTCAAAGCAGGAGATTACAAATGGTATGTTTCTTTTTTTCTATTCGTTTTTTAAAATTATATGAACCTTATTTGGCGGTTTCAATTTTTTGAAAATAGTTTGGTGATAATAAAAAAAAACACAAAAAAATTGTTTATTAAACAATTTTTGAAAGCTATTTTCATCGATTAAAAATTTATAGATCTCAATTTTGAGATTTTTTTACAATTACTTTTAATAATTGAACAAAAAAGAACTTTTAGATTCTCACAAAGGAAAAAAGATTTCTACAAAAGTATAATTAACCAACAAAAATTTGAAAGTATAGATGTTGTTTCTTCTTAAATTCATGATTAAACTATAATGGTTGTGACAGGATATTGTCTATCTACCCAAATTGTGATGAGATTAGAGGTGGTCAAGATCATATTTATGTCTATTTGGCATCCTATTTTTCAAAACGTTGATTCGTTAGTCTATGGGCATTTGATGCATTAAAGGGTAATTAGTATTTAAGTGGTATCCACATCAGTCGTACATGAATGCATCAAATAATTACAAAAATCACTTCACTAGTCATTTTGGCTATTAGTATTAGTACTAGGCTAACAACGTATTTCAAACTCTATCAGACTTATTTTTGTCTTTTATATATATCAAATCACAAACAATTTATATTTCATGGAGTACTATTTTTAAAACGCAGATGGTAAAAGTAAGGCGTTTACATGCATCAAAAAGTGAATGGGGGCATAGACAGTCATAAGCCACCAAGCTTATAGTGATCCTTCAAATGGATACCTTATTGACGGCACGTGTGTGTTTGCAGCCGAAGTCTTTGTTTCTTCAACGTCGGTTTTGTTGAGATTTGTGTCTCGGTTTCCATTTTAGAATTGTATTATTATAATAATTTCTTGTAGAGACGTGTTGTGCTATAAGAAATTGTAATTCTTGTTACCGAGGAATTGCTTTATAGATAAATACTTAAGTTACTGTTGAGAGGAATGAATTGAGAGAGATGTAGCCTTACGAGGGTTGGAGTTGATGGAAAGAGATTTAGTTACATGTCTAGTATAGTGAACACTGATGGCGAGAAAGAGTTTCGTAGAGTACACGGAGAACTCGGTAAAGAGTTTGTGTGCATGGTCTGGTATTAGAAATTCTCTGTAATATCTCTACATATATAGTAAATCATTTCTCATCCATGAACGTAGGCCGGATTTGGGTGAACTATGTATATCTTAATTGTGTGTGATTTTTTTTTTTTTTTGATTACTTGTGATTATTCCTCGAACATTGTTTTTTGGGTTTCTGTCACACTGGTATTAAAGCATCCGGTTGTTTTGTGTTTTTCGCTAACAACTAGTCACAGAGCATTTGACGAAATTCCAGAAGACTTTCGTATTCGACCTGTCCATTCAAGTGGGAGTAATGGTATCAGAAGACAAGACATCAATATCTATGATCGAGAAATTCGATGACATAAATTTTAGATTCTACAAGATGCAAATTGAAGACCTCTTGTTCAAAACCTGATCTGCCTATTCCTTTAACCAGGCTTACCTTGAACAGCTTCAAAATCATGAATATAGGTATGCTGAGATGATTAACAGGATATTCACAACATGATTTCAATCAATTAAGCTCAGATCATAAGCACTTGAGCCATGACATCTGGTAAATAATTCAATATACTCAATTCAATAGCAATGCACCAGTAAAATGACTGATATTAAGATATGAGAGTTTAGTTCAGTAAATGATCACCCCACAGCTTAGATTGTGACATACACAGCCTCAACATAATAGTATACTTGTTCAAGATGTAAACTCAGCCAAAATAACAAGTAGATAATCAATTAGTCTCAACTAGAAGCTTTACACCATAAATAGGCCAAGACTGTTGTGTAAAATTCAAAGTGTTCTACAGTGAAAAAATAGGCATATACCCGAGTTCTGCAGATGTAAAAATGTGAATAAACTTGCCTCAATCTCGGCAATGCACAAGAAATGTCTTCAAGCAATTTTAACCCTTAGAACGAGAGAATACATCAGTAAAACAGCTGTTGCAATCCTCTTCTGCAAATCTTCAAGAAACCACTCACACATACTTATTTCTTAGATAAAAATTTAGCTCACATAGTAAGATGATTCTCATAAATACTTATACATTTTCCCTCGAGTGTCTTTCTCAAATATTCTTCAAAAGTAGCCCCTCTAGGGTTTTCAAAAGGATTCAAAAATTCAGGCTTGCCTTTCAGAATTCTGTAATAGTGTGTGTGTATATATATATCCTCAATAATATAACCCTAATGTGGATAAGAATGAGTCATTGTGTACCAATCATACAAGAGGGAATTTTTTGATAAATCCTTGTGTGTGAGGACCACATTATCCCTTACACATCACACTCTTTTGTCATTTTGTACACATACACAAATTCTTCAAATATCAGCTTATTGCACCAACTTTAGAATTAGAGAAATGAGATTTTGAACCAAGTGAATAGCAGACCTTAATTTCTCACACTAGGACCACTGGACACGAGTCAAGCAAAACATGTTTGGGCAAGTTTGTTTTGTTTTCAACAGTACCAAAACACTATAGGATTTCGGGCCTAGAGTTGGAACACCATTTTGGTGTTCTCGTATTTCTTGAAATGAAATACTTTGCCAAACATATTCTACCATGTTTCTGTTCCAAAATTTTCACTACAAATTTTCGTCACCAAACATGTTTTGTTCTCATCTTAGAACACCACATTACAAAACACTTGTTCTGTTCTAGGCTAAAACAAAATACTACAAAATACAACACTTTCCAAACGGGTCCTTAGAGTTCCCCTTCCCATCAATCAGTTGTAACTTTGGGGGTTAGTATCCAACTGGTATTCTCATGTTGTCAATTCGATTTGTGTAAGGCTTCAAATACATGAGAGAACTTTAAGTTGCCCCGCCATATTATGACTTGATCAGATCATTTATTGAAGTTGTTAAAAGGACAACGAAGCGATAGAGTTAGCAAAGTTGGTTTAGTTTTCCCCCATTCAGATGTGGCTACATGGTGAGCTTTGTTTGCCATGATTGCTTGTGGCCTGAAACTAGGAAGGTGTGTAGGTCCTTGACTTGAATCAGAAGACTTTTGTACCTCAAGCTTTTTCATTAGTGAAGTAATCTGTAAGTATTTTTCTTCCATAGTTGTAGTGGTCTTCTTGATAGCACGGGCCATAGTCGCAAGTTATTCCTCTACTGATATTATGTTAGTCATCATGTGTAATGACCCGGGTTTTTCAACCCGGTGCGTCAGTGATGAACCGAAAGTTGATCCGATAACGGACCCGAAATGCGGAAGCAAAAGATAAAACCAAAGTCTATAGAGATAAAAATCATCCCCAAGATACCAATGTGACCTTCTATGAAGTCACGGAACTCAA